GGTCCAGGTTCACTCCAGGTTCCAGCTGCTGCAGGAGACTCTGTACCTCACAGTTGCCATCCTGGATCGTTTCCTCCAGGTAAGAGCGGTCTAAAGTCTCTTCTTTGAGTCTTGTGAACGGAGTTAAAAACGTTCCCCTCTGTGCTGCAGGTCCAGCCCGTCTCTCGACGAAAGCTGCAGCTCGTTGGTGTGACGGCCATGCTGGTGGCCTGCAAGTATGAGGAGATGTACGCTCCCGAGGTCGGCGACTTCGCCTACATCACAGACAACGCCTTTACCAAGTCTCAGATTCTGGAGATGGAGCAGGTGGTTCTGAGGGGCCTCAATTTTGAGCTGGGACGTCCTCTTCCACTACACTTCCTGCGACGGGCTTCCAAGGTCGCTAATGTGAGTTTTAACCAGAATTGCATTTATCAATGTCTGAAGGAAGAGCTACAGTATCAGTTCCTGGTTACATGAAAATGGCAGTTTTCAGTAATCATCAATATGCTTAAGTTTCCACATGTAGACTCTGTTGCAGTGAACATTCTGCACATAGTTCCTGTGTACAGTTTCTTAAATGCCTTCCTTTAGGAAGAAAACCACCAGGACTGGACAGATTTCTCTGTACACGAGTATCTTGGCGGGTTTGAGTGCCGTGCTTTAACGAGATTAGTAAAACGTGTCCTGAGTTGTGAGCAGCCTGGATGTTTGTCTCAGTCTGATGTAGAGAGACACACGCTGGCCAAGTACCTGATGGAGTTGACCCTCGTCGACTACGACATGGTGCACTACCGGCCCTCTGAGATCGCCGCCGCTTCCCTGTGTCTCTCCCAGCTGCTGCTTGAGGGGCAGCCGTGGGTGAGTTTGCTGAAAACAGAGCGACGGGTTAAATGTGTAACTTTCCTCCCTGCTGCTTTTTAGCAAGTTGTGTAACGATCGGCCTTTTCAGTCTCCTACACAGCAGCACTACTCGACTTATGACGAGGCCCACCTGAAGCCAATCATGCAGCACATCGCCAAAAATGTTGTGACTGTAAATGACGGGAAAACAAAGTTCCAGGTGAGTTGGCTGACAAAGCAGAACTTGTGGTTTTGTGTTGAGCACAACTGCCCCTAAATGTGGCGTTCCTCTACAGGCCGTCAAGAATAAATACTCGAGCAGCAAGCTGATGAAGATCAGCCTCCTCCCTCAGCTGAGGTCCTCCATCATCAAGAACATGGCGGCTGCTCTACTCAACAATCCTTGAAGCTAAACTTCCACATTTCAATGGGACATTTGATTTGCACTTTATTTCAGATCACTGTGGAGAAACTTTTCTAGCACTTTTTAAAAATGTTTTTAGTTTTTGATTCAAACATCATGGTTTTGTTCAGATCACATTCTTTATCAGTGATTTCTTTCCAAAATTTTAATGCACAAATTATGTTGGCAGCTTTATATTTTTGGGGGGTATAGATTTTATTCTGCTCCTGCAAAAGACCCCATGAGCAGCTCCCACTATGCTTGCTGTTGCTGCCTTATTGTAAAACAGGAAAGACTCACTGCAATAACCACATCCTATTAGGGCTGTTTTACCTTAAGTGTGTCCTGGCTTGTTAATAGTTGTACACACCTGGACATTAATGTCTTGAGAGCATCTAAATGCTCTAGAGCTGAGTCTTATAAGTTTCATGCAGGTTGTGGGATACTCTTTATGGATGTGTTTGAAATATCTTTGTCCAGATTTATTGAGCTTGTCAACTACTAAACTTGCCTGACGGCTCTGCCTAAGATTGTACGAATACCTTTTTTAATAAAGGCTGTTTTACCACTTGAAACTACAAAATGTACTTGCTTCACTTAAATGATTACATTTTTAAACCATGTCAATGCTTAGTGCATTATAGGATGGACTGAAGTATTTCTGTGTACACTGAGGTGTGACTACATTCAAAACACTTAATATTTCTGCTGTGTTGACATGCCCTAGTAACCAGAGGTGGTTGGTTTCAGTTTACTTGCAGTGAACACAAGTGTTACAGCTCTTTTATAGAAAAGCTGCCTTTATCAAGTTGCTGTAATGAATTTTGCTCTATTTCAAACTAGCCAACTGTATATAAAGTGATAAACTAGCAAACTGTAAACAACAAACCGTTATCTTGACGATTTTATTAAACCTTCAAGATGGGGGCGGCTGTGGCTCAGGAGGTAGAGTGGGTTGGCCGTTAATCGAAAGGTCAGCGGTTCAATCCCTGGCTCCCCCTGGTTGCGTGTCAAAGTGTCCTTGGGCAAGATGCTGAACCCAGATTTGCTGTTCCACCAGTGTGTGAATGTTAGTTTCCATTTGAGCACTTAGGCTCAGTGTATGACTGGTGAATGCAGATGTAGTGTAAAAGCGCTTTGAGTGGTCAAAGACTAGACAGGCGCTATACAAGTACAGAGCATTTACATTAATAAAAGAGAATAAACACAAGTACCATAACTCGTATAAAGCCTGATGGTTGTTCAGACTTGGGCTAACTTTTGCTACGTTTGCCCCTCCCGTCCAGAGTAAAACAGAAGACCTAAAACAGAGTGGTTTTAAAACTCCGGGGTAGCGTTTCAGTGTGGACAAGCAAAAATGGAGGAAGCAGACACTCACATTTGGCTTCCTGATTGGGTCTTGGATCAGTAATGCAAAGCAAAAACACAATGCTACCTACAGGGTTTTTATACAATAAAAGAATCAGATCTTAATGACATATTAGAAAAAGAAGAAATCAGATTTGGGTAACCCAGAGACGCCCCTCTAGTACAGAGAGTCCTTTCACTTTAGCCATGAAGGGGAAGATGAGCGAGGAGGAAGGTCACTGACAAGATTTGTGGTGAGGGCGTTGGAATCAGAACCAAGTTTAAATAAGAATCTGAATCATAATTGATTAAATTGAAACGAAACCCAACTCTGGAGACCTTAAAGGCTTTATACTATTTTTTTCCCACATATGCAGTAGTCACTTCCCAGCACCTGTAGAAGCATGCTGATGTGTAAGATCAGCAGAATTCCCCTTTAAGCGACGCATCTGAATACTTCTATCCATGACCATCTGATGCTTTCTTTTTGTGGCTTTGTAGAAAAAAAGAAATCAGGCCACTGTGGATGCGGCGTGAGGTCAGAGCTCACCAGCTCACACAGAGTCATTAATCCCGAGCGTCTCTCATCTGTTAGAAAAACCAATCTGACGTCCAGCGAAAAACTGAGCGACTGTCTTCAGTCCTTCCTTTTGTTCAGCGCCTGCAGCGTTAACGCACAATCTCTGCGATCACAACTGCACGTTCCCCACAGGCTGTAGAATAACGCCATTTATTACAGGCTCGTGCTCCCTCACAGGCCGAACTGACTGTATGTGCTGTTTGGTGTGTGGAGGAGCATTGTAATCTTCAGACTGACCCTGACTTCATCACCCTCCTCCTCCACACTGACTGAATGGTGTTGAGCTGCTGAAGCAGGACAACAGAAATGTTACCACTGTTTCTGAATACATGTAGCCTATTAGAGCTGCAACGATTAATCGATTAGTTGTCAACTATTAAATTAATCACCAACTATTTTGATAATGGATTCATCGCTTTGAATCCTTTTTTAAGGAAAAAAACGTCCAAATTCTTTGATTTCATCTTTTCAAATGTGAATATTTTTTGGTTTCTTTGCTCCTCTATGACAGTAAACTGAATATATTTGGGTTGTGGACAAAAGAAGACGTTTGAGCTTTGGGAAACACTGGTGAACATTTTCCAACATTTTCTGGATCAAACAACTTGTCGATTTATTGCTTTGAATCCTTTTTTAAAGAAAAAATATCTAAATTCTTTTATTTTAGCTTCTGAATTGTGAATATTTTCTGATTTCTTTGCTCCTTTATGACGGTAAACTGAATATATTTGGGTTGTGGACAAAAGAAGGTGTTTGACAATGTCACCTTGGGCATTTTACAGTGAAGCATTAGTAGCCTATTTTACTTTAAATACATTTATTCATTTAGCTGATGCTTTTATCCAAAGCGACTTACAATTACAAATACTTGCTGCTCCAGAGGTCACACGCCTCTGGAGCAGCAAGTGTCACATGTAATTGGTGCAAACAGGAACTAAAGGTAAAGTTGATCATCTCTTTCTGCACTTTGTACACACACCACCACATGCCTCAGTTTGACAGATTGACAGGTCTCTCACACCAAAGGCATGTGTCTTATCCAAAGCGCCATCACCACACCCACATTTTCACAAAAGAGCGATTTGCCTTGGTAGATATTGCTTAACAGCACACATGAGAATAAATAAAGAAAAAGTACAGAGATTAAAAATGTATACAAAAAATACTAATACAACAAAATGCAATAAATAAACAGGATAATTAACAAGAAACTGTGCAAATATTCACTATAAAAATTGACTAATTGTTTCAGTTGGCCACAGCCTGTTCACCCTGCTGCCTTCTGGGAAGAGATATAGAAGTTTCAGCTGCAGCACCAGACTGCAGAGCAGCTTTTTCCCCCCAAAAGCCATCAGACTCTTAAACTTTAATTCATCCTCAGCACTGCTCCGGTGATTATAGTTTATTTCTGTTTACCTTTTTTTAAATATAATTGATTCCATATTAATGTATATTGTCTGCTATGTAGCAGAAAGGAGTTACAAAACTCAATTTCAGTCTAACTTGATTGTGACAATAAATCTATTTAAAACAAACTTTAATTTGTAAACTAATAAATGTAGTAAAGTATCAATAATATTTCCCTCTTAAATGTGGTGCAGTGGAAATGTGGCATGAAAAGAAAACACTCAGGTAAAGTGCTATACGTATAAGTATAATTTGGCTACTGGAGTAAACATTAGAGTTACTTTCCACCGCTGCAGAACTTTGAATCCTTGTTGTTCCGTGTTGGTGTGGTGCGGGCTCTGCGGGGATTTAAGGGTTAAAGGAGGGCACTGACTCGCGTTAGTTCCCATATCTGCCACATGGTGGGGACCGGGGCAGCCTCTGCTGCTTGCCAGCCCGTCTTCTGCTCCAGTCTGCAAACTCGCTGCAGCTTTTGTTGTTCCAGTCGAGCAGGAGGTCACGCGCAGTCCGAAGCAGTCCGCTCAGCGCACCGCACACAGGACCCCGCACCGCACCGCACCGCACAGCACCGCACCGCACAGCACCGCACCCGCACCGACAAACACTTCTCTCCGCAGTTCAGCTCAAAAACAGGTAAGTAACCTCCAGCTGGTGAAACATGTCTGCAAACGGAAATTGGTGCATATTTTTTTTTGTTGTTTTTGAACACGAGGCGCAGAACGTGTCTGCTCGATGGATTCAGATTGATCACAGAGTTTGTTGATTGATTGATCGATAGTTTGTGAAAACGGCGATACGACACTTACATTTTCCTGGATTTAATCAAGTGAAGCAGGACTGGTGATGTGGCGCCCGATGGGATGATTTATGTATTTGACACAATGAAGCGCTTCACTGTATCAGACCACTTGTTACTGTGAGAGCTGCAGAAACACGCGTTCCCACTTCAGGACTGAAACAAACTCAACTCAAGTGCTTTTATATATATATTTTTTAATCTTTCAGAGGCTCTTGTGGGACGATACACCAAAGCAGATTGAAAGAAAATATAAACTGTAGTAACTTTGTGAGACAAACGGGGCAGATCTGATCTGCTCTCTTTTAAAAACAGCTGTTTTCTGCGTTTAATTTGGTGCAACCAGAAACTGTTGATCAAAGTTGATAATCTCTGTCTGGACTTTGTACACACACTTCCACACGCGGCTGTCCTACAGATATGATCAAAATCCAATATTTTAAACCTTTATTTCACAATTTGTATGTCTTAAAGGTTTATAGGATTCAGTTTTATTCCCAGAGGTGAAAACAAGCGGCCAAGCTTTTGTTTTGTTTGTGACCCCCAAAAGCAAAACAGTGTCTGCTTGTGTCTCCTGGTTGTGGCCAGTTCAACCACAGTGTAATTGTTGCCTTTTATTTTAATTTTAGAGGCCCCAAAAGAACTAAAACGTTCCCATATTTGTATGACCAGAAGAGGGCAAAGATTAGAGCACAGGGTAAAGCATAACTTTGTGTTAGCAGAAAGTGTTTGATTTTTAAAGCATCTAGAGACACTAAAACAGTCTGAACTTTACCCAATGAAAGTCTGAACTCAGGGATTCAGGTAAAGCGCTAATTCACAGAAACATATTTAAACGAGGAAATTAAATAAAAGCCCACAACAGGATGTTTTGGGTGGAAAAGCAAAGCTGCAACAAACACTGAAGTTAGCTTCCGATTCGGTAGTTGAGGGGAACTATTTCCTGATTTTAAAAAAATCACTATGCCAAGAGCTGTCAGATCTGAACTAGATTAACCCAGAGAAGCTAAAGTTTCAGTTTCAGATTTGTGAAAATGTTTATTCTATTTGCGAAAATGGGGAAAAAAAGATTTATATAATCTAATATGGTCTACATGTAATAAACAAAAAAACATAAATGGCCTGATCGTCGAAACCCAAAGATCTTCAGTGGACAAGCAGCAAACTGTCCAACAAGTCCTCCAAATTAAATGACAACATGTGATCTGACGCCTCTTTTCAGCAGCACGATACAATTCACAAGCAAACTCCTCTCCCTCGTTTCCATCGGCTTCTTCCTGCAACAACAACTCGCCTCTCACAAGATTTCAGAGCGAGAATTATCCTTGAGCGAGACTTTAGTTTCCTGTTAAACCCGGGAGTCCCTCGTAGGGATCCTTTCCATGTTGCTGTCAGACACCTGGTGTAACAGTCTGAGCCTGTTGGTGTCAAAAGAAGGACTTTTTGTGGACGTAATTTTGACGGGTGCAGTTGCCCCAAAGGAATACGTTGCAGCTGCTGCAGCCGGTGTTATGCCGAATTTTGAATGCCTGCTGAGAATTGCGTGCAACTCCAAATACTGCTTTTAAACGCTGTAATATTCTTTGTGGGGTTCATCAATGTTGATAAACGATTTCAAGTATATGTTTTATGAACGTTTAGAGCCGGTAATATTTTATTACACTTAGTAGAAGTAGCGTTCTTTGACATTCCACGTGCACAGCAAAGTGTCTGAAAAGCACCTTAAGAGGTGAATGCAGAATTCAGCGCAACACTAGTTCATCTGCAGGCTTTTTTACTTTGTGTTTTAAAGACTCTTTAGTTTCTCTGAGACTATCTAGTCCAGATTTGACAGCTGTAGGCACAGTGGTTTTTAATCAGCACCTGGTTTGCAGTTTTGTACAATCGCTATGACAATCCGTCCAATACTTCACACAATTTTCCATAACTCTTAACACCGTTAGCTCAACAGCCGTCTGTGGGAGGCTATACAATGAACACATTTCGCGTTGCTTTGACACAAAACGTTCAGTGAACACAGATTTAAAATGCTTGAACGCCTGCACGAGGGAGAGGAAGACGAGTACCAGGACAAGGATAAGGTAGAGCGAGAGGATGTGTGGTGGCGCTCAAAGAAGGGCCAGAGCTTGGGGAACTGATGAAATAAGAGCTACTAACATAGACCATGTCATAAACCACGGGCTATCGTACAGAGAGGCTGGTGAACGAGTACAGCCGAACCTCAGCCGGGACACCGTGGCATCCAATGTCCAGACTTTTTGAGAAGCCATCTGGTAGGATGTTATGGGGCTCCTCCTGCTGCAAAGTGTAAATAATACTACCATGTATTCTAAAGAAACTGCACTGCAAAGCGTAATCTATGATCAATACGAAATGCTGTCTACTGTATAAGGGCGACCTGACACATATAGTAATGCAGTTTCTGTAATTCCACCTGAAATTAGTGTTTTTATGACACTGTGCTATGATTGACTAAATGTTCCTGTTGGAAGAGAACGTGTGTTAGTGTTTTGGTGTGTATATATAGTGTATTGAGTTAGAGTCTTATTGTATATTGAAATTAATGTTAACATAACTGTTGTGTATTGGTGTGTTAAAAGTTTAGGAAAAGTGTTGCAAGAATTGTCATAGCAATAGTAACAGACTGTGATGTGGTCTACATGTAAAAAAAAACAACAAAAAAAACAAATTTTTGTTTTTTTTTTCATTGCAAAAACATGAACCTGTGTTTAAAAGAAACTTTAGCCTCTCTGATAATCAAGTCCGGTTTGCGCTGCAGGCTGAAGCCGGCTGCTGCACAGATTCCAAACCTTGTGAAGATAGTGCAGAGGTTTAAAAATACTGAAATAGAACTTGAACTGAAGCCAGAGGGGAACCTCCATCGCTGACTCACCCGTATCTGAAATTTCATAAAAATCAATATTTCATCAAAGTTGCACAACGTCGGTTCCAGAGCTGCGTCCCCCCTTTTGAAGCTGAGTGAGGCTGTTGATGAGGGACCGGTCTGTGTTACAGATGGGAATGTGGGTCAGTGTTGTGCATGGTGGCATCAGCCGCTCAGTCGATACTTCATCTTTCTCCCCTCTCCTGTCCCCCCTCAGAGATCGGTGGATCTGCCCCCCCCCCCCCCCCCCAACACGTGAGGCTGTAAATCAGTTCAGCTGCAGGTCGTGCTTCCCTCTCCAGCATGACCCTAATTACCTTTCCATACAGTGGGAACAGAAAAGTGTGTCTTGTTGAAGCGATTATGCTGCGCTGGAGTCAGCAGCTGTTGGTGGTTAAAGTTTGGACAAGAAACCAGAATATTTTCACCTTCAGGAGCGCTGCGCCGATGTGGCTGCATTCTGAGCTCTTTTAACCCGGCGAGTTTAAGCCCACGCCGCGGCTGTATGTTTAAAATGTAGAGAAACACAGAGGCTCACCCACAGTGACGCATGAGTCATAACCTGTTCACCCTGTTTAGTGAAATTTGCTCTGAAGGTAATTATGGGTTTAAATAAGGCTGCTCACATTTCTCCTCCACAAACAAACAAACAAACATGGTGGAGTGGAGTCCTGCTCACAAACTGAAAGGTTGTTGCTGATGAAAAGTTTCATGACCTAAAGAGAAAAGGGAGAAGAGGTTGATGAATATCCTCAAACAAAACATTCACATTGTGAAACCTTTCTTTGAGAAATCAAGTGGTTTTATATCTGCCAAAGAAGCCAAAGACTAAACAAACATGACGGAGAATCTTCACCAGATATTACCAACTTTTGATACTCGCTGTTGTGGCAGGAAATGATTGACGTTCACTGATCTATAATCGTTTCATCGTGATAACTGCTTATACTTCCTCCTGTTTGTTTGTTCGTTTGTCAGCATGGATTCCTGTGTGGCCGCAGTTATGAATGTAAGTTGGTTGTTTGTCATGTCAGACCGTCAGGGCAAACAAACGAAATGAATCAGCAACACTTTATATTTATTATTCATCGGTAATAAAAAGGGTAACTTGGGTATTTTCCAGCCTGTCCGTGTGTCCAATTGGGATGCCATTTTTTGAAATTGGTCCAGTATTGAGCGAGCGCGCTGCGGTCGGCAGCAGCAACGGAACAGGACTGCGTAATCTTTGCGAACACTAAAGTACAATCCAGAAATAGTCAGAATATCGCTCTTGTCAAAGCCACCAGACTCCATTGAGAAACAGTAATGTTGCCAGCAGGTGATTTATCTTTTTGCTCCAGAGAGTCGGGTGCATCAGATGTGAAACTACACTGTCGATTTGGTGTTTGACCGATATGGATTTTTCAATGACCGATGCCGATATTTAGAGAGCAGGGCGGCCGATATCCCACCAAAGGAAAGTCGTCTATTATTTCATGCAGAGTACAATCTAATAAACATGTTATCTCACCCAGTAACGTGTTGTTTTAATAATTAAAGGTACAGAAACGTACATCAGGTTCTACTGAAGAATTTAAGAAGGTGACTGGTGTTTAAGTGGGTACAGTATAAAAATCTATATTCAACACTACCCATGGTGTTAGATTAGATCTGTTATGTAGGATGATAAATCGTCCCTGTGAGTGCAGGTATCAGCCTGATTTAATTGGTCTATCACAACTGTTGATCGCTTTATTTACGTTTTGATCGACAGGATTGTTTTTTTCCAAAGAAGAAATGACAAAAAAATCACTGGTTCAAGCTTCTGAAATGTGAATATGTAATAATATTTGCGTATTTGTAAACAGATTTTTTTTTTGGGGGGGGGGGGGCTCTGGACGGTGGGTCGGACAAGAGAACTAATTTAAAAACTCAAACTTTCTAAAACTAAATTTTAGAACTTTTATTTATTTT